TTCCTCAGTCAACTTGGGTAGACATTTGTCAGTTTTATTGTCCTTTTTTTGATTTTATCTGTTGATGTCTTGCAATTTCATTCATTTTTTCTCTATTTTTTTTGTGCTAGCTTTGGGTTTAATTTGCTGCTCCGTTTTTAGTAGAAAAGCTAGGCACTGAGATTATTGATTGTAATCTCTTGCAGTGTATGTGTTCAATAGTACAAAATTTCCTGCAGGCAGTCCTTTTGCTGCATTTCACAAATTTTGATAAATTCTGTTTTCATTTAATTCAAATGATAAAGTCTTGACTCCTTTCATACATGTGGTATTCATTCAGTAATGTGTTGTTTAATCTGCAAGTATGTGTGCATTTTCAGGCTATCTTTCTGTTAGTGATTTCTAGATTGATGCATTGGTAGTCTGAGAACATATTTTGAGTATTCTGTTTCTCAGTTAAATCCAATTGTTTGCTCTCACTGTTTAAATTAACTGTGTCCTTCCTGATGATTTTCTGCCAGCTGGATCTCCTAATTACTGTTAAAGGGATGTTGATGTCTCCAGCTGTACTAGGGGATCCATATATTTCTCCCTGAAGTTCTATCAGTTTTTGCCTCATGTATTTGACAGTGTTGTTATACACACACACACTAGGATTGCCTTGTCGTCTTTGTGAATTGATACATTTACCATTATGTAATGTACCTTTATCACTGAAATTTCCATGCTATGAAGTCAGCTTTCTCTAAAATTATATAGCTATTCCAGCTTTCTTTCTTTTTTTTTTTTTTTGACCAGTAAGGGGATCTTAACCCTTGACTTGGTGTTGTCAGCACCACGCTCAGCCAGCTAGCGAATTGGCCATCCCTGTATGGGATCCAAACCCGGGGCCTTGGTGTTATCAGCACCGCACTCTCCCGAGTGAGCCACGGGCTGGCCCCCAGCTTTCTTTTTATTAGTGTTAGCATGGCATATCTTTTTTCATTCTTTTATTTTTAGTATATCTGTGTTTTATATTTAAAGAGGTTTCCTGTAGACAACATATACAAGAAGAGGTCCTCCAAAACTTCATAGAAAGATTTGTATTATCTTTTAATTCCATTTTTCCACAAACTGTTTGAATTATCTTTGTATTAGATTTTTTTTTTTTTTTTTTAAAGATGACCGGTAAGAGGATCTTAACCCTTGACTTGGTGTTGTCAGCACCACGCTCAGCCAGTGAGCGAACCGGCCATCCCTATGTGGGATCCGAACCCGTGGCCTTGGTGTTATCAGCACCGCACTCCACCGAGTGAGCCACAGGCCGGCCCTGATTTCATTTTTTTCCTACTGCTTTAACTTTTATTTCTCAAGACACTTTACTCTTAGCATTCTTGAATAGTGGGTATTATTTTCATCCTTTTCACATATCAAAAAATATGTAATTATGTTCTCATTAGGTCATTCACATACCTATTCAAATCATAATATTGGTTTGGATATTTATGGTTTTTGTATATTGAGGTGGGGGTGGATACCATGAGGAAAGTGCAGGCGAATTTTAATCTTAAATATTTTGATACATGTAATCTTTAAATTCTCTCATTTTAAGTACAAAATATGCTGTTCTTCAGCTTTGTATACCAAGTTATTTAATTGAATAATCCATTTAATTAAATTTTGGACTTGCTTGGGAGGCTAAAGGACTTTGATAAGTAGGTTTTAGTTTTAAGTAATTTCGTTTTCCCCCTTAAGACCTTGTGGCAGGTAGGTATGAGGGTGGAAAATGGAAAAGATGGGGTACAAAGTAGAAGATTGCAATTTCTGAATCCATTTCTAGTGGGTAAGTTGAAATCCTAAATAACTTTGCCCTACAGCTTGTCCACAGTTGTGTGAGCAGAAGCATACTGTAGAAATTCTTTGCACTCTTCTTGCTGTCTTCAACCGCCTCAGGAAACAGAGTGCTTTGGTCACTATTTTCCTTCTCCTCCTGGGGTAGGAGAATATTGCAGATCATGGAAAGCTAAATCTAACAGGACAAGCAGTATTAATCTGGGTGGATCAGAAGATGCAGTTCAGACAGAGGGACTCAATGGGAAAAGTTGGCTAGGAAAATCTCGACCGTTCATTTGGGCTGATGATAGTTTCTTTTTTTTTTAAAAGAAAATGTAATTAATAAAAATTAATGGTTAATTAATAATTAATTAGTAAATAATCAATGATAAAAACATTTTTTGCATTCTAGGATGTTGCAGAGCAGTTGGGAATGAGGGGGAGAGGGGAAAGGGGAAGGAAATGGGATGGAGGAAGGAGGAGGGGCGGGATTGAGGCCTCTGGCACCCCCCTCATTCTCACAGGGGAGAACAGGGGGCTTCCAGTGGTGGTGTGGTCATTGCCAGGCTGGGTGCAGATATCAAGGGGGTATAGCAAAAGCCCTCGCCCCCCACCTTCCCAGTTCAGGAACCCTTCTTGCTGCGGCTCAGTGGTGGTTGCTGGGCTGGTTGCATGTGTTGGGGGGTGTGGCCAAGGCCCAAGAACCCCCACCACCCCGGCTCAGGAGAGCCCCGGGTGCTTCCTGCAGTGGCTCAGTGGTTGTAGCTGGGCTGGCTGCGTGTGTTGAGGGGGTGTGGACAAGACTCAAGGCCCCTGCTGATAGTTTCTGTACAAAGAGTTTCCATGTTTTTCTCTATGTTTCTGGCACGTGTCTGGATAATTCTCTTAGGTATTAGCCATCTCCTCAAGAAATCATAAGATATACAGTATTTCAACTAAATTTTGTAATAGCAGAGCCTCTGTAGCAGGTATTGTCCTTGATTTGGCCTGAATAATCTTTATATGTTTGCTGGTTTATTATAAAAGATATTACAAAGATAGAGGAGAAGAGGTGTATAGGGTGAGTTGTAGGGGAAGGGGTGCAGAGCTACCATGCCTCCCCAGGTGTTGCTGCTCTCCAGGAACCTCCATGTGTTCACCTCTCTGGAAGCTCCTGCTTCCATTTTTTTCTGTCCTCTTAGCACGTGAATTATAGTCCCCCCCCCTTTAGTGGTTTTGTGGTTGCCTTTGATTTTACATTGTTCATTTATACCTAACCCAAGTCCTCTATCAAGTAACACTACTACTCCACTGGTTGTGCAGGTACTCCTAAAAAATATTCCTTCCTCTCTGTCCCTTGTAACATTGCTGTTATACGTATCACTTACTCATTAGCCATAGTAACCAAATACATTGTTGCTGTTGTTATCTTGAGCATAACATTTCTTTCAAGGAAGGTGCACTGGTGACAGATTCCCTCCTTTTTCTTTGTTCATCTCAGCCTTTATTTCTTTTTCACTTTTGAAGGATATTTTTGCTCCATACAGAATTCAACATCAGTGGGTTTTTTCTCTCAGTGCTTTAAATGTTTCACTCAAATCCCTTCTTGCTTGCATCATTCCCTGAATAGAAGGTTCAATTTGATTCTTATACATGTTTCTCTGTAACTAGGGTGTTCGTCCCCCCACCACCACCCCCATAACTCCTTTCAAGAGTTTCTTTCCGTTCTTGATTTTTGTACAGTTTGATATGATATTCCTAGGTGTGGATTTTGGGGTGTTTATGCTGCTTGGTGTTCTCTAAGATTCCTGGATATGTGTTTTGATGTCTATCATTAATTTTGGGAAATTTTCAGTCATTATGGTTTCAATTATTTGTTCTGTTTCACTTTCTTACTTTCTTGTTCGCTTGCTTTCTTGCTTCCTTACTTGCAGCTGGCCAGCCTTCTCTTTCTTCTTATGTATGCATTATACCTTTTGTAATTTAAAAGAAGATTCTTTTGGGCCAAGCCCGTCGCGCACTCGGGAGAGTGCGGCGCTGGGAGCACAGCAGCGCTCCCGCTGCGGGTTCGGATCCTATATAGGGATGGCCAGTGCACTCACAGCGCTCACTGGCTGAGCACAGTGCGGCTGGTCTCAAAAAGGACAAAAAAAAAAAAAAAAGAAGATTCTTTTTGTTTGTTTTTGAAACTGGCTGGTAAGTGGATCTGAACCCTTGACCTTGGTTTTTCCAGCACCGTGCTCTCCCAAGTGAGCTAACCAACCAGCCCCACCTTTTGTGTTTTCCCACAGTTTTTGGATATTCTCTTCTTTTTTTCCCCCTTTTCATTTCAGTTTTAGAAGGTTATGCTGATATTTCTTCAAGATCACTAATTGTGTCTTCAGATACTTCTACTATATTGACAATCCCCTAAGGGCAATCTTTATTTCTGTTGCAGTGTGTTTTATGTCTGTGTTACCTTTTGATTCTTTCTCACTGTGTTCATGTCTGCGTAAATTAGCCATGTATTCTGTATGTTCACTACTGTTGTTACAACTCTTAGCATATTAATCTTGCTAGGTTTAAATTTCTTGTCTGATATTCCAAAATCTCTTGTTTATCTGAATCTGGTTCTGGTGCGAGCCCTCTCTCTTCAAACAGTTTTTTAAGTCTTTTAGGATGTCTTATAATTTTCTTTTTTGTGAAACTGGACATGATGTGCTATGAGAAAGGAACTGCTTCTTGTTACAATTTAGATTTCCACGTGCCTCCTGGGCTCTCATGTTTGTGGATGGGAATAGGAGTAAAAGCATACAGTTCTTAAGTGTGTAATTAATTATTCACTAAAGCTCATGCAGATTTGACCCTGTTGTTTCATGAAGTGCTGAGTGCTATGGTGCATAAGGTAGAAAATGAAAGAATTTTCCTCACAAGGAGTTTGTGGTCTTCAAATTTGTTTCAGTTGTATATCTTTTCTCTCATTTATACAAGGTGGTCTTCATCCTGCCATTAGAAAACAATAATGCTTGTAGTGATCAGAGTAAAAATGTAGAAGTAACTTTTATATGTTCATGATACTGTTACATTTATGGGGAAGTGAGGGTGGACAGAGAGTTCTAAAGATCAGGTCACACTGTAAGTGTTTAGTACACAGAATCGTATGTAAGCTTAATTGTATGTAAACTTATTATTAATTGAGTATAGGTAGATCCTTAGTGCTGTCAGTCTTACCCCCTGTGTACATATGTGGGATGTTTTAGGATTCAGTGGCCTTTGAGGATGTGGCTGTGAACTTCACCAGGGAGGAGTGGGCTCTGCTGGATCTTTCCCAGAAGAAACTCTATAGAGATGTGATGCAAGAAACCTTCAGGAACCTGGCCTATATAGGTAATGACAACAACATTCCTTAATTGGAGTTAGAGTTAGTTCGAGAACAAGTGTCATATGCTTATTAACTGCTTTTCAGTATTTGGAATGTAGAAAAGGAATACTTCAATGAATAAATAAGGCAGGGTCCCAGCTAATCATGGACCTAGAATCTCATAATGTTTCTATAATTTATGATGATTTTTCTGGGTCTGCATTATAGGGAATAAATGGAAAGACTGCAACATAGAAGACTACAAAAACCAGGAGAGAAATCTAAGGTGAGTTGCACTCAAAAGAGTAAGTAGTGGTCCACTAGAGAATCTTACTGTGTCATGAAATGTGAAAAACAAGAAAGAGAAATAGTAAATCCAGCTTTAAATTTATTTATTCCTAGAAATTTTAACCAAAAATGTACCGTCATAAATGTGATAGATATTTAGGGTACAAAAAATAGTTCACTTTGAATCCATATTAACAAACGTCACGTATACATATATGACTTTTTTTTTTTTTCTGGAAAGCTGGCCAATAAGGATAGCTGTTTTGAAGGAAGATCTGGTCATGCCTTCTTCCAGAGCACAGGGCAGAAAACCTATATTCCCTGAAAATGGTTAAAGTATAATTCTGTTATATACTAATAAAAAGTTGTTAATTAATCCATTAGCAATGTGGTATTCAACTAGCCAGTTAGCTCAGTTGGTTAGAGCATGGTGCTGATAACACCAAGGTCCAGGTTTCAATTTCTATACTAGCCAGCCAAAAAGAAAAAAAAAAAGAAAGAAATAATGTGCTACACATTTTTTACAGAAGTCATGTGGTGGAGAGACTCTGTGAAAATAAAGAAGGTAGTAAATATGGAAAAACAACCACCCAGATTTCAAAGTTTAATCTGTGTAAGAAAACTCCTACTGGAGCAAAACCATGTGAATGCACCATGTGTGGGAAAGTCTGCACGTGTCATTCACCCCTTAAGAGGCACATCAGAGGACAAACTGGACACAAACAATATGAACATCAGGAATGTGGAAAGAAGGCATATAAATGTAGGGAATGTGGAAAAGTATTTAGTTATCACCGCTACTTGAGAAATCATGAAAGGGTTCACACTGGACAGAAATTGTATAAATGTAAACTGTGTGGTAAAGCCTTCAGTTATTCTCAGTCTTGTCAAATACACGAGAGAATTCACACTGGAGAAAAACCCTTTGAATGTAAACAGTGTGATAAAGCCTTCCGTTGTTCCAGTTATCTTAAAATACATGAAAGAACTCATACTGGAGAGAGACCCTATGAATGTAAACAATGTGGTAAAACCTTCAGACGTCCCATTGACGTTCGAACGCATGAAAGAACTCACACTGGAGAGAGACCCTATGCATGTAAACAATGTGGTAAAACCTTCAGACGTCCCATTGATGTTCAAACACATGAAAGAACTCACACTGGAGAAAAACCCTATGAATGTAAACAGTGTGGTAAATCTTTTGGTTATTCTAGTTATCTTCAAATACATGAAAGAACTCATACTGGAGAGAAACCATATGAATGTAAACAATGTGGTAAATCCTTCAGTTATTCCAATTATCTTCAAGTACATAAAAGAATTCATATTGGAGAGAAACCCTATGAATGTAAGGAATGTGATAAAGTCTTCAGTTCTTCCAGTTATCTTAAAATACATGAAAGAACTCATACTGTTAAGAAACCCTATGAATGTAAAAAATGTGATAAAGCCTTCCGTTGTTCCAGTTCTCTTAAAATACATGGACGAACTCATACTGGAGAGAGACCCTATGAATGTAAACAATGTGGTAAAACCTTCAGATGTTCCATTACTGTTCGAACACATGAAAGAACTCACACTGGAGAGAAACCTTATGAATGTAAACAATGTGGTAAAACCTTCAGACGTTCCTGTCATGTTCGAACACATGAAAGAACTCACACTGGAGAAAAACCCTATGAATGTAAGGAATGTGATAAAGCCTTCAGTTCTTCCTGTTATCTTCATATACATGAAAGAACTCATACTGGAGAGAAACCATATGAATGTAAACAATGTGGTAAGTCCTTCAGTCTTTCCAGTTATCTTCAAATACATGAAAGAACTCATACTGGAGGGAAACCCTATGAATGTAAGAAATGTGATAAATCCTTCAGTTCTTCCAGTTATCTTCAAATACACGAAAGAACTCATACTGGAGAGAAACCCTATGAGTGTAAGGAATGTGATAAAGCCTTCAGTTCTTCCCGTTATCTTAAAGTACATGAAAGAACTCATATTGTTAAGAAACCCTATGAATGTAAAAACTGTGATAAAGCCTTCAGTTGTTCAAGTTATCTTAAAATACATGAAAGAACTCATACTGGAGAGAGACCCTATGAATGTAAAAAATGTGGTAAAGCCTTCAGATCTTCCAGTAATCTTCTAACACATGAAAGAACTCATATTGAAGAGAAACTCTATGGATGTAAACAATGTGGTAAAGCCTTTAATTATTCGAGTTCCTATCGAGTACATGAAAGAACTCATACTGGAGAGAAACCCTATAAATGTAAACAGTGTAGTAAAACTTTCAGACATTCAAGTTCACTTCGAGTACATGAAAGAATTCATACTGGGGAGAAACCCTAGGAGTGTGAATGGTGTAGTAAGTCTTCAGATGTTCCAGTTATTTTCGAAGACTTGAAAGAACTCACACTAGAGAGAAACCATATGATCTTATATGGTGTGGTTAGGACCTCAGTATTTCTAATTCCTTAGGAAGACAGCACTCATGCTTCAGTGAAATCTATATAAAAAAAAAAGTTAGAAAACCTTCAGTTCTCCTTTAGGTGTGTGAATATGAGTGGATTCAGAGTGGAGAGAAACCCTCGGAATTTTAGGAATATGGGAAAGCCTTGACTTTACACAACCTTGCAAGGACACATGAGAATGTATACTGGAAGGAAACACTAAATGTAAAGAATGTGCAAAATTGATCAGTCCTCCCAGTTTGTTTTGAAACTATGAAACCATTGATACTGGGGAGCAGGTTCTTGAATGTAAGCAATATGGGAAAGCCTTCTATTTGTTCACGTCCTTACAATGACGTGTTTGAATGCCCACTGCTACAAACCTTATATATGTGAAGAAGGCTGGAAAGTTTTCAATTTTAATGAATGCTTTCAATGTTGTGAAAATTCAAACTAGAAAAAAATCCAATAGATATATGTATTATTCCATATCTGATGCAAATTAATTCATGTATGATTCAGAAAATTTACATCATGAAAGAAAGTAATAAAAGTTACAATTATATTGTCTTTATTTATAGCTCATTCTTGAAGTGGATCTCTGGCCTATGAATTTTTATTTCTTTGCATATGAATATTGAGGTTGGATAATTCTGTAAGTATTCCTTAAGAAATAGTGTGTAAGGTTAATAAGTAGATTTTTGCCCTTATAGTTAGTGAGGTTTTTCTGTGTATTTTAAAGTCTGGTGGACTCATGGGTGAATTGAATTATATTTCTAATATGCAGATAGTTTCAATTTTTATGTAGTTTTAAAATTCTCTAAGTAAGGAGCCGTTTTAAAATGAAACTTTGGTGTTTATTTGGATTTTCCTACTGACTTCTTTTGGCAGTTACTGCATATCTTTTACCCATTATATGTGTTCCTATCTTCCTTGGACTTTTAAAACCTTTTTTTCTTGCCAGGAGACCCTTATCCCATTTTCCTTGCTTATAAATAGTTGGAATCAAGTTGTAATATAGAAATTTTATCTTATGATATACTCTCAATTGAATTAAAGTTTTTCATACTTTGTCCATTGCTCTTTGTCCTTCCTTCTGGCTGGCTTTTTTTTCTGAAGTATGGACTTTGTATTAAAGAGACACCTGTGGTAAGACAGTATCTTATAGAGTTGGAAATTGTTTTCTTGGATTTTGTTATGCCAACATAGATGATGTGACCTATGTTTTCTGGCCTCTGTCCCTTTATGCTGCCAAATTAGAATTCACCAATAGTCTGCTTGCAGAAGATTTGGACAATGGAAGTGAGAAGACGTTAGCCTGGCTTTGTTTCCATCATACAGGGAGAGACATATATATATATAGGGAGAGAGACAAATGTATAGGGGCTTCATGGACACCATTGTCCTGCCCATTTTCTTGATCGTTTGCCCTGCCAATGAAGAAGATCCTCAAAACCACCACCGACTGCTTGACTTCGAATCTCTCAGGTGTATAAGTTTCCACTGATGTCTACAAAAGTTCCCCATCAAAGGTCTGTTACAGTTAGGAATTTTCTGATGTTTCCACCAGGCAATTGCTTTAGACTGTCATGGTTGGGAGTATTTTCTGATTCACCATGTCCTCTATCTCTAGATTGTATAAGGACTAATTTGTATAATAAACACGTTCTGTTAATACTGCTGGTGACTGTATATGTGATTCTGGTGCATTAAAAAAGAATCACATGGGAGTTTGTTCTCCTGCACTGTACAGCAGACCCAATTCTTCCATGTGAGAATAAGCACATTTTTCGTGTTAGGTACATTGCAGGTATTTCCTCTTACACCTTAATGCAATTCTTTAGTACCTTTTCAATTTGTTTCATTTTTTATGATTAAAAACAGTGTGATTATTTGTCAAAAGCTTCTTGTGTTTTTTTAATACATTTTAACTATTTTAACATAACTAGTATACTATCAACTATTGTCTTTTTCATCTTTTGAGAGGCTATGTTAAGATACCCTTTTGCAGTTATGTATTTTCCGTTTAATTTGGTGATTTTTCTCAATTTAGTCACTAAATTCTGAGTCAGCATACCATGTATGTGGAAATTTAGGTATTTTCTCCTGAGGCAAATTATATTTTTTAATAAATAAAAGTTGTTACAATTTATTTAATCAATAAGATAATCACAGCGTCTATTGTGAAACTCATTTTGCATTCATTCACAATACAAAAGCCTTAAGTTGTTGTTTTGTCAATGTCCCTTTGCAAAAAGACTGCCAGGATCACACCTGTAGTCAATGAGAAGGTCATGAATTGTAATAATAAGAGTGACCACATATTATAAGTGAGAGTGGGGTGTATCAGTAAGAGGGTACTGAAAACAGTACTTTCTTATGGGATTTAGGCTTGTGTTTGGTAATTTGATTTATTCAAAGAAGCAAGACATTTTTCTAGAATATGAAATTTCAACTTAATTCTCATTGGAAATCATAAATAGCTCTTCAGAAAGGAAAAGAAAAAAGGAGCGGAGATAAACCAAATTTGTTAGAAACACCAGTCAATAGTGAGAAAAGGGGAATTTAGATCATTTTCGTGACTTATACTATGTTCTCTTTTGCCATTTTTAGAGACATGGTTACAGAATGTACTTTTTTTTTTTTATTGATCCATCATGACAACTGAGTAGCTTTGTCTGATGATGGAGGTGCATGACATTTTTTTCTTCAACACAATAAGACTTGAACTTGTGTGTTTATGTGGCCAGATCCCAGTTATCTGGAATTGCTTTTGCCTTTCTTACCTAAATGTCGAAATGTTTTTTATGGTGTATTTTAAAAATTTCCATAGAATAATTCAGTTAAAACATAAATTCAGTCATTCTAAGGTAACTATATAATACTTTTCTTATCTATTTTACCTATTAACTATGACCTATAATTTATGGTAATTTTTAAGAAAACACAAACGTAGCATGGTACAAACACATGATCAGTATTCTATCTAGTCAAGCCTTTCTTGTGCAGTGATCATGTTCTTCATGTGAATTTTTCAACATCTTTCATATGCTAGGTACTGTAGACTCATACATAATTAACAAAACTCATGAAGCCACTCTAGGCTTTATTTTTTGTTTGTTTGTATTTTTTTTAAAGATGACCGGTTAGGGGATCTTAACCTTTGACTTGCTATTGTCAGCACCACGCTCTCCCAAGTGAGCCACAGACCAGCCCATCATTCTAGGCTTTAGATATGAACATGTGAAACAAACAAGATCTTAGTCCTGGTGCCTCTATTTTTGAGGGAAAAGAGAGAGATGGTTTGCAAATTGAAAAGCTTTGGTTTATATTTTAGTCCATTTTGTGTTGCTATAACAGAAATACCTGAGACTGGGTAATTTATAAAGGAAAGAGGTTTATTTAGCTTACAATTCTGGGACAGCTGCATCTGGCATGGGCCTCAGGCTGCTTCTACTCATGGCAGAAAAGTGGCAGGCAGCCGGCGGGTACAAGCAGATCACATGGTGAGAGAGAGAGGAGGTGCCAGGATTCTATAAACAATAAGCTCTCGTGGGAACTATTAGAGTGAGAAGTCACTCATTACTCCCCCCTCCCCGGGAGAGCATTAATCCATTCATAAGGGATCTGCCCCCTCCATGACTCAATCAGTTTCCAGCACTGCCACATTGGGGATCAAATTTCCACATGAGTTTTGGAGGGGACAACACATCCAAACTCCATCATTCCGCCCCTGGCCCCCCAAAACTCATGTCACTCTCACATACAAAATACAATCATTCTTGCTCCAACACCAACTTAAAAGTCCAAAGTCTCATCTGAGACCAAAAGCAAAAGTCCTTGCAGCTGTGAACCTGAAAAACAAAACCAAGTTTATCAACTGCCAAGATACAATGGTGGAACAGACATTGAGTATACATTCCCATTCCCAAAGGGAGGAATAGGCCAAAACAAAGGAAAAACAGGTCCCAAACAAGTCCAAAACCCAGAAGGGCTGGCATTAAATATCAAGGCTGGAGAATCAGGTACCTTGATTCCATGTTCAACTGCCTCTGCACACTGGTGTGGGTGTTGGGTCCCCAAGTCCTTGGGCAGCTCCGCTCCTATGGCTTTTCTGGTTTCAGGCCACACTTCACCTCTCCCAGGCTGGTATTCCACCCTGGTAGCTCCACAGGTCTGGGGTCTCCATGGCAGTCCTGCTCTCATGGCTCTACTAGGCATGGCCCTGTTGGGGTTTCTCTGCTGCAACTCTGACCTCACATTTCTGCTTGGCATTGCTCTAGCGAAGGTTGTCTGTGGTGACTCCACCCCTGAGACAGATCTCTTCCTGGGCCCCCAGACTTTTCCATACATACTTTGAAATCTGTGTGGAGGCTCCCAAGCCTTCCCAGCTCTGGCATTCTGTGAGCCTACAGACCTAACACCACATCGACGCCACCAAGACTTCCGGCTTGTATTTTCCAAAGATGTGGGTCCAGCCACACCTGGGGCCAATTTAGCCATGGCTGGAGCAGCCAAAGCAGCTGGGTGCTGGTACTGGTGCTGGAAGCAGCTTCTCCAAGTGGCCCTGGGCAGCAAGCCCATGGAGGGTGCCTCAGGCCTGCTTGCCAAGAGCATTCTCTCTCCCTAGGCCTTTGGGCCCAAAATGGAAGGGTTGGCCCCAGAGGCTTCTGCAATGCCTTCAGGGCCTTTTTCTCCTTCTTTCGATAATCCCTTTCCTTTGTACTGATCTTCTTAGCTAATGGTTTCTGGGCTGCACCATTTCATGCCCTCTGCTTTTCTACCACATGGCCGTGCTGCAAACTTTCCAAAAAAAAATTTTTTTTAAAGATGACCGGCAAGGGGATCTCAACCCTTGACTTGGTGTTGTCAGCACCACGCTCTCCGAAGTGAGCTAACCGGCCATCCCTGTATAGGGATCCGAACCCGTAGCCTTGTTGTTATCAGCACCGCACTCTCCCAAGTGAGCCACGGGCC